CTGGACTCATCTGGAGGCGTTCTGGATGGACGTGCGTCGATCAAGAAAGCCAGGGTTGCTGATGGTGTCTCGTTGACCATGCACATTAACAGATCCCAAGTTCAAGCTTCTTACAACGCTTTTGCTGCTGTTCTTGGCGATGGAACCGTCGTGACCTGGGGTCACGCTTCTTGGGGTGGTTGCAGCAAGGATGTTCAGGATCAGCTGCGGAATGTGCAGAAGATCCAAACCCAAGCCGGTGCGGATGCTTTTGCTGCCATTCTTGCCGACGGATCCGTCGTGACTTGGGGTCGTGCTAGTGGCGGTGGTAACAACAATGCGGTGCAGAGTCAGCTGAAGAATGTGCAGCAGATACAAGCTACTCTCTGGGCTTTTGCTGCGATTCTTGCCGACGGATCCGTCGTCACCTGGGGTCATGGTGCCTTGGGTGGTGACAGCAGTGCTGTGCAGAGTCAGCTGAAGACTGTGCAGCAGATCCAAGCCTCTCACAGCGCGTTTGCTGCAATTCGCGCCGATGGATCCGTCGTGACTTGGGGTCATCCTATGCATGGTGGTGACAGCACTGCTGTGCGGAGCCAGCTGAACAATGTGCAGCAGATGCAAGCCTCCGAGAGCGCTTTTGCTGCCATTCTTGCCGATGGATCTGTCGTGACCTGGGGTCATCCTGTCTATGGTGGTCAAAGCAGTGCTGTGCAGCATCAGCTGAAGAATGTACAGCAGATCCAAGCGTCTCAGGCCGCATTTGCTGCCATTCGCGCTGATGGATCCGTCGTGACTTGGGGTCATCCTTTCCATGGCGGTTGCAGCAAGGATGTGCAGGATCAGCTGAGGAATGTGCAGCAGATCCAAGCCTCTGATAGAGCTTTTGCTGCCGTTCTTGCCGATGGTACCGTCGTGACCTGGGGTCACGCTTCTTGGGGTGGTTGCAGCCAGGATGTTCAGGATCAGCTGAGGAACGTGCAGCAGATCCAAGCCTCTGGCAAAGCTTTTGCCGCCATTCTTGCCGACGGATCCGTTGTGGCCTGGGGTGATCCCGCCTGTGGTGGTGACAGCTGCGCGAGTCGGCTGAAGAATGTGCAAGAGATACAAGCCACTGACAGTGCTTTTGCTGCCATTCTTGCCGACGGATCCGTCGTGACTTGGGGCGGTGCTCGCTCAGGTGGTGACAGCCGTGCTGTGCAGAGTCAGCTGAAGACTGTGCAGCAGATCCAAGCCTCTCGGCACGCATTTGCAGCTATTCTTATGGATGGATCCTTGGTAACGTGGGGTGCTGATGACTCGGGAGGCGACAGTAGTGGGGTAAAGGACCAGTTCGAGGCTGTCCAGCAGACTGTCATACAGGCCTGAATAGTTACGAACACTATTCCTTAGGGTTCCTGAGTAGAGCTGTGCTATGCAAATCTCTTTCAATTGTCAAGACCCCTAATGTACTGGGTCCCGCCACTCGTAGGGGCCTGAATAATTGCCAATACTATTCTGGGGTTCCTTATTATAGCAATACCATAAAGGAGCCAAAAACCTTATTCTAATTATTAAGGCCCCTACATTGGTCCGGAGATCTTCTTCTGTTTGTCGGTCGCTGTCGCAAGACTTGCAGAAGAGCTCTGCAAAAAGCGCGGCGTTGAGGGGTGCAGGCCCTGAAAGCCTGTAACGAGGAGTTACCAAGAAAGCCCATTGCCCCTTAGCTATGGCATGTGTCTGAACTCATGTGCAGGGCCCCTTCCCTCTATGCTTTCAGGTAGACTCCTCTGAATGGGTGCTCGGTGGGATGTCCTGAACCCTGGTAAAGCCTCGCAGCTCTCTTACAACGCTTTGTGCAATTCAAAGAAGGTGAGTCCTCAAGCACTGAAGCCTTAAACAAAAACCCTTCGACAGCCCTTGTGAGGCTTTTGGGGCATGAAGCGGAAAACCTGATCCCCAAAGCACAAAGCCAAAACCCTAAACCCTAAACCCTAAACCCTAAACCCTAAACCCTAAACCCTAAACCCTAAACCTTAAAGCATTTCTGAAGATCTTTACGGCTCATTGAAGGCGCCTTTGGCTCAAGCGATGTTTGAAGGTCACAACAATAGGTAGTATTATTAGGGGTACCCCTGAAAGGGTACCCCTTCTGAACCCTACTTTTGGCTCTCTTAAAAGGGACCTTATTGAGAGGGTCTCTATCCCCAAGGGTCCCCCTAATCCTAGCTCCCAAAGAAGGCTCCGCAATTTAGGGAGTGAGACCTTAGTGCTCTGTTTCATAGGTCTACGGGGCTTAGCAGGGTTCTATACCGGCTTTAAACTCTAAACCCTAAACCCTCGAATGAGGCAGGCTTTGCGGAGAAAAGGCCACTGCACATTAAAAACAAAAAAACTTAAACCCTTAAACCCTAAACCCTTAAACCCTAAACCCTAAACCTTAAACCCTAAACCCTGAACCCTAAACCCTTAAATCATAAACCCTTAACCCGCCAGGCTGGGTGCTCTTTCTCAGAAAGTCCCATGAAGCGCAAAAAATAGGCACGCCATGAGATCTTAGGGTTTAGGGTTTAGGGTTTCGGGTTTAGGGGGGCAAAAGCAGTTTTTCTTATCTACCCCTAGTAATACCAAGGCCGTGTCGAAGAAGCCCGAGACAGTGAGGATTAGTGGCGAGGATCTAGGAATTCCTTAGATGGGGGTTTCCGAAAATAGGGGACCCGAATATAGTACCCTAAACACTAGGATCCTTATTATAAGGACCCCAAAATAAGGTACCCCTTCCTTTCGGAAACTCCCAGATGGCTCAGGTTGAGTGTTTAGGGAACTCGGGTTTAGGGTTTAACGCATGGGGTCTAGTCTAGAGCCAGAGATAGGGTTGTTGTTGTGTTTTTTTTGTGTTTGTTTTGGGTATGGTTTAGGGCGCAGGCTTATGTTGCTTGATTTATCGAGAACAGAACCGGGTTTTGGGCTCCCTTCCGAGAGGAGCATAGAAGGCCGCCTAGGGCGTGTCGGATGAACGATGTAGGGTTTCTTATGGTTTAGGGCTCAGGGTTTAGGGTTTAAAGGTTTAGGGTTTAGGGTTTCTTATGGTTCGGGTTTGCAGTTTAATCGTTTTTGTTCACGGCTCCTAGGGTGTGGCATCAAGGGTAGGCCCAAGATCGGCAACCCATATGCCCCTCATCCCGAACCCCCTAATTTGCGCCTTGCTCGGCCATGCGCTGGTGGTCTGTTGCGCTGGATAGCTGGAGGTGGCATCTCGGTTTAGAGGTTTGGGGTTTAGGGTTTAGGGTTTCTTCAGGTTGCTGGTGTTGTTCCACTGTCAGCCTCTAAGCCCCAGACACCAAAACCTATACTCTAAACCAAACCTCAAATTGAACCTAAATCCTCGAACGTCCATCGTAACCTCTCGAAACCTAAAACTCTTGACTAGAGGGTCCAAGCACAATACAATGATGTGGTTGCCACCGATCAGCACCTTGGTTGTCATTTCTGCTGTAATGCTGAATGCTTCTGCAGTGAAAGTAGTTCTGGTGGTGTAGGGTTGGGCGTTTTTGGGCGCAGTGGCAGGGTCAATAGTGCAGTAGTACAACTTGTAGCAAGAAAGCCAGATGACATTAGAGCAGGCAAGAAGGAATATGTGCAGTACGATGCCTAACGCGAGTCCTTAGCTTTAACTTCTACGTTTCGGGTTTAGGCTTTAAGTGTTTAGGGGCTTGGGTTATCGTTGAAAGTGGTTTAGGGTTCCCCTTAGCCCCCTCTCCCATTCCGATGCTCCAAAATTCTAAACAATGCACACCGAATGCTCTAAATCCATGTCGCCCGTCTCTAAAGCCTTATACATGCCACCCCTTAACCCTAAACCCTAAACCCTAAGCCCTAAACCCAATGCCCTAAACCCTAAACCCTAAACCCTAAGCCCTGAACCCTAAGCCCTAAGCCCTAAACCCTATGCCCTATGCCCGCAAATCCTGCAATCTGCTCTCTTGCTCAAAAGAGTTTTGCTTGCCACAAGTGCCACAAGTGATCACCGGTCAACGCACAACTCGAGCACGATGACCTTCAGGAGCCTGGGTCTTATGTTTTTTTTTTCGATTCTTGCGGTTCAGGGTTTGGGGTTTAGGGTGTAGGGTTCGGGGTTTAGGGTTTAGGGTTTAGAGTTTAGGGTTTAGGGAATTCTGGTTCTGATCAGGGTTATGATTTATGAATGTGTGGTCAGCTGTTGTTATCATTATTGTTATCATGGTTCTTGTGTTTACTACTAACGCAATTACTGCTATTATTGTTCTTATTATTCCTTAACGTTAGCAAAAACTGTTGTTAGTACTGTTTGGGTTGTTTGTATTCTTACACACACACACACACATATATATATATATATAAACACAATGTCTGGTGTTTTCTCCGTGCTCTAGGTATTAAGATTTGAGAGTGGTTGCGGGTTTCAGTTTTGGGGCATGGGGTTGAGGGTAAGTGACAACATCAATCACAGGTAGAACTCGCACAATCTCTAAGCCCTAAGCCCTTAACCGTGTTCCCGAATGCGCAGAGGGGGTTTTCGTTACAAAGGCCTGCCGTGCAGTGGCCACAAGCATGCACAAGCGCCCACAAGTTTTGGCACTATTTCCACTGATCTGAACAACCAAGTATGACCAGAAGAACCCTGAACAACACACCCTGAACCTTAAACCCTAAACCCGGAACCCTGGCCCTTGGACCCCAAACCCTAAGCCCCCAAAAAGGGCCAAACCCTCAACCCCAAACCCTAAACCCTAAACCCTAAACCCTAAACCCTAAACCCTAAACCCTAAACCCTAAACCCTAAACCCCAAACCCTAAGGCCCTAGAAGCCCCTAAACCCTAAACCCTAAACCCTGAACTCTAAACCCTAAACGGCAGACGTAAAGTCATTGCACTTAAAAAACCCTAAGCCCTAAACCCTAAACCCTAAACCCTAAACCCTAAACCCTAAACCCTAAACCCTAAACCCTAAACCCTAAGCCCTAAGCCCTAAGCCCTAAAGCAAGCCCGAAGCTCCTTCACAGGAGCTGCCTTCTCTTCGCATCCCTCCTGGCCGTTTCAACTGCGAATCACTGCCTCTACGAACTCCGGCGGTTTAGGGTTTAGGGTTTAGGGTTTAGGGTTTAGGGTTTAGGGTGTTTTGATTCCCTTACAGGGTAATTTCTATAGGCTCCCTTAAAGGGTTCCTTGAAAGTGTCCTACTAGAGGTTTAGGGTTTAGGGTTTAGGATCTTCTTGGGTTTGATGTGGGTAATGGTAGGGGCCTTAATAATTGGAATAGGGTTTTAGGGCATACTAGACTATACTTATAATAAGGTAATCATTCAGGCCCCTATTGTATTAGGGGGTTTGATGTGGGTAGTTCTCCACATCAGGGTCCCTTTTTGGTTTTGGGGTTCCTGAAAGGGATCTATCAGGGTTTCTATAAGTGTACTGTAAGGGTTCCATTTGGGGAGTTTTCTAAATTAGGGTCCTTTTAGGGTCCTTTTTTTATAAGGGTGCCGTACTATATTGGGGACTTCAAAAGGGAACTGAATTTGGAGAACTAGCCTAAACCCTAAACCCTAAACCCTAAACCCTAAACCCTAAACCCTAAACCCTAAACCCTAAACCCTAAACCCTAAACCCTAAGTAGGGATTAGGGCTTTGGGTTAAGGGTGCAGATGGCCTAGTCTTAAGGGGCTTTGTGGGGCTTCGGGTTTAGGGTTTAGGGTTTAGGGTTTAGGGTTTAGGGTTTAGGGTTTAGGGTTTAGGAAGAAGCCCTTCTTGTAGAGGCCCGTACAGAAACCTTTACGGAGCCTCTCTGGAAGGCTTATAGAACCCTTCAGAACCGTGACGGGATTTCGGAGAGTATGACAGAATATGGTGGAACCCTAAACCCTAAACCCTAAACCGTAGCGCCAAGGTTAGAAGGGCCTCATAGCACTTGTTGGGTACAGTGCATCGCGGAGACGTGGGTCAATGTCAGTCGGACAGCACGGTGGATCAACACGCACTGGGAGTCCGAAGCGCTGCAGAACCCTGCGAGTTGTGTCAAGGGTACCACAACAAACAAAATGGAAGCCTCCGTAATTAAGGATATTATTCCTAGGATTCCCTATCAAAATTCTAGCAGAAATGCCAAAAATTATCGTGAATGTTAAGGCCCCGACATTAACAGGGTAGTGGTAGCCCGCCCCTGCCTTTTTTCGGTAGCGCCCAAAGGGGCTGCAGCGGATAGCAGGCATCATCAGAATGAAGGCTCAGAAAATTACGTCGGTGACCCCAAGAGCTCTCAAAGTTTATAAGGGTTTAGGGAGGTTAGTAGGTGGTCCCAAAAGCTCTCTGTCAAGGAGTCAGCCTGAAAGGACCGAGGGGTCTCTTGGAGATGGTCCAAGGTATATTCCTGAGTTTCGGGAAGCTCGGTTTAGGGGTTTAGGGTTTAGGGTTTAGGGTTGGCTTTAGACTTAAACCCTAAGCCAAGAATCAAGATCTAGGTAAGTACCACGCCCTTCATGCAGGCAACCCCAAAACCTACAGTTTCTAAACCCCCAACACCCATAAACCTAACGTAGAAGCCTGGATAACTTACCAAAGCAAACTCTTTCTTAGGATTCCTCAGTAAAAGTATCAACTATATAGATATGCTCTCCCAAACTCCATTCTAATCATCAATTGCCTTTTATCAAGCATCACCCCGAACACGCAAACCGTAAACCCTAAACCCCTAACCCTAAACCCTAAAGCCTAAACCCCAAACCCCAAACCCCAAACCCCAAACCTTTCCAAA